GCGGTTAAGCCTCGTCTATACCGAAAGACAATTGTCCTCAGACACGTATCGCCGACAATCCACGTCTGTTTTTTCATGGAGAATCCGCGCACAACGGCAGATAGAATTCAAGCGCAGAAATAGTCCGCGAATAAAAATCTAATCCACGCTGACCAACGACTGTCCCCGCTGCCAATCTGTATGCGTTGTCCGGGGAGAATCCGGGAAGATAACGGAAAGTGAAATACAAGTCCGCGGACAAATATTTCATTTTCCATCGGAATAGAAAACGAGAAACAACGACTGTGCAGAAATTTAACTGTTGAGGTTATTCGATGTCTAAACAGAGAAAACTCGTGGATAAATTGTAAAGCAGAAAATATATTTAAATAGAAGTGTAATTATAAGTAAGAATACAATTTGAGCTGGTGCAGATCCGCACGCTTGCTGTATTACCCAATAACTGAAAAATCCCGAAGCCAACGTCGCCTGTCTACCGTTTATGGTTTGTCTTCGTCGCAGTCTTTTGTCTACACGCTGTCGATGGCTTCGGTGTTTGAGAAAACTAAAAAGACCAAATATAGAGTTTTCTTAGAAGTGGTAACCACTTCAACATTAACGTTCCTATAAGCGCATATAAATCCGCAGTCTACTGGTAATCTTTGCCTAAAGATTCGCGTCTTCGCGACGGTTTAATACTTTTTGCGTTTCTTTTGCCGCAAATTAAGAAATACACGATACGTCTCGTAAAGCACGATAGTAAGCCCGCTCAAGGACGTGACTGGGGACACAGAAATTAGACGTAGACAGTAGGGGCCGTGATTACGGGTTCGAGTGGGCGTGAGAAAAGTGGGTGATCATAGATATCCGGCACGCTCTTATATCAGCGGATGAACGACGCTGTTCGTAGACTGCTACGCTACGTACGTTGGTCGCCGACAATCGTCGAACGTTGCTCACAGACAGACGAGGCTTTCTGGACTCGTCGTCGCGAAGGATAAGAAAAATCAGGGAGAAGGGGGAAAAATTGCGAACGAAAGTTGCGCGACTCGTGAGCGGAGCGTATTTACGCGTTTTACGCGTCGGCCGATGGTGCAATTATATCAGTCGGTACGGTGGTGTGTTCGGGTTCGCTCTTTACGAGCGCAAGTTTCGAAACTACTCGACTGCCGACGTGCAAACATTTCTACGCGCACTCGCCCGTTCACCGGTGGTGACGTGGGAAACGGACTTGGCTACTCTTCAACGTGGACGACGAGTTTCTCACCGCGGACGACGAGTTTCTCACCGCAGGATATCCTCCAGTTATTTTACATTTATTGCGCCGTTGACTAATATCTCATCGCGTTCGCCGAAAGTTAGGTCGCAAATTAGACGACTTCGGATTTCAGGCGTGGCCCGTATAATTTCAAAATTACGAAACGCGACTCGCGGCCAGCCAGCTCGACACATAGGAATACGCGCGTAATTAGAAAAGTCCTTGAATTCTGCAAGCAGAGACCGGTGATTGACCGTGTGGCTGGCTTAAATGAAGCGACTGACCGGCCGGTGGCTCGTAATTATCGAGAGACTCGGTTAATTGGCTTGACCGCCGCACTCGTGCCATTCTCAATGCGTTTCGCTGTAATTTAAAGTAATGCAATCCGGTTTCTAATTAGCGTTCTCCATTAAAATGTGCAGAAAACCGTCGAATCCCTAGTTCCGTGCATTATGCGCGATGGCCGTCTCGCAATTTTTCACATGTTCCCTTAATTAGCCGTATTAGAGAACCCGCGCGATTTTTCCACCTTTCGCACCTCCGATCGAAGAAATCGAAGGATTCCGTTTGGCGAGCGTGATACAATTCGATACGGGATTTTTAGATTCCCTTGACATTTATGTAGGAACGTATGGATCTTAGAGTAAGGACAAGTAATGATGTTTTATTTAGAGTTTAGTGTAGTTTAATAAGCGATACTCAATAACAAAAGGACCGATTACAATATCGTCGTACGTCTTATTATCATACTATCCCGCTCCTCCACTCGCACTCTCTGACTTCTCGATTCACACTCTGTGATCTCTCGACTCACACTGCGCTTCTCAACTCGCATTCTGCCCGTTGTAGCATCTTTTTTGTCTTTTGCCGAAACCACACACCACACTCGTGTTCCGCAGACGCTCGTGGCCAGGGTCACGCAGGTCTTTTCTACGAAACTATGCGCTTGAAAAGACCGAGGACACATTGATAGACCCGACAGCGCCTCGGCTCTCGCGACATTGTCCCTGATTACCTCGATGTTTCTTAGGCCCTTTTTCCCCGATACTACATTTATTCCACGTTATAACGAACGAGTATTTCGAGCGAACAAAAATATCTCTTTCTGTCGCGAAAATATTTGTTTAGTCGAGAACGGTCTTCACACTTGTCAAAAACTAATAAGTGCATTTACGACAGAGCGTCGCGTCGCTAGGATAACCGTCGTTGCAAGTGACACGAAACTACTTTTAGTCGGACGAGCCTCTCGATTCCAAGCGCTGCATGCGTCGACTAAACTATATTTTGTTTTGTCACGGAACGTGATATAATATTAAGTTACAGCGTTAAATAAGAATATTCTCGAGTAAAACGGTATAGCAAAGTAAATGAAAAGGGAAAGATCGTGAATTTATCTAATTATGCGCGTAACTTAACAAAAGGTATGGTAGAAAGTGAAAAATAAAGCAGCGAGATTGTAGCGGGGTACAAACAGACCAAGGTTGTGTAAGTTTTTACCATTTATTTGAAAGGAATAATTGTATGAATATTTTTCGCACGTAATATCTCCAAGTTCGCTTTTGACCGTATTATCAAAAAGGAGGGTAGGATGCCTCGCAGGGAATGAAGATATATTTCGTATGCCTCGCAGATATTTCACTTTGCTGAAAAGGCGGACGTGCACTGCCTTTTGGCTACCTTTGATCCATCGGAGCTCAAAGACCGCAGTGTCCGTATAATTTACATTAACTTTTGCCAGATGGAATCCATGTATCTCGAATGTATCGTCAAACTAAGTAGAATGTACGTTAAATTTCTTCGATCCTGTCGTTAATCGTTACCCTGTAACACTTATCGCTTACTCGCGTTAATAATTCATGCTGGAAAAATTTCAATTACAGAGATTTCGTGTCACGGCATTCTCTAAGAATAAACAGCAGGCAGCATGGTTGAAATTTTCAACGCGAGATCGTAGTTTCACACTCGGTAAAATTTTTCAATAAAACGTGCGGAAAACCGTAGCACAGAACTCATTTTTAACAGTCACCGTTACATCTTTTCCGCTCATTCCGGAATATAATTTCTTTCTCGTGGCGATTCTTCTTGTCGGCCTATCCTGTCAGCTGTGGGCACACGCGCGCATGCATACACTTCAGATAAGAACGATTATAGGCTCGCTCATTAGCATTTTCCCTCGCGCCGAGTTGACCATTTACGACGCAGGAATAATGGTGCAATCAAAGTCAACGACAGCCGCTTCTTATCGGCTCGGGAGGAATATTTAAACATACATCGTTGCTTCCGTGCAATATCGTAAGCATCGTCTGCGTACAAGTCGCCTCGATCTCTCCAATTAATCGAATAGACGCCAGATGATAGAATAATGCCTATACTTTCTTCGTAAAGAAAATTTAATCGATTCTCGTATTTATGCCATTCTCTTTTTGTTAACAAATTCTACGTGCGTTCCTCTCCGAATTTACCGTCCAAAAGAAGTGTAGTATCGGGGAGAAGGGCCTAAGAAACGTCGAGCCAATTGTAGACAATGCCGCGAGAGCCGAGGCGTTGTCGGCTCCATCGATGCGTTATCGGGTCCTTCAAACAAATAGCTTTGCCGAAAAGACCTACGGGACCCTGGCTACGAGCGTCTGCGGAACACGTGTGCGGTGGGCCTAGCAAAAGACAATAGAATGCTACAACGGCCAGAGAGTCAGTCGAGAAGCAGAGTGCGAGTTGAGGGGATACGGAGTGTGAGTCGACGTGCAACGATATTGTAGTCGGTCCTTTTGTTATTGAATATCACTTATTAAAATACATTAAACTTTAAACTCTACCATCAACACTTGTCCTTACTCTAAGAATCCATCAGTTACTACAGAAGTTTTAGAGGTAACGGTAAAAATTTAACGCACAGACAATACTCCTGTTAAAAGTTCGTAGAACACGTTGCAAATGTCACGTAAATGTAAAGTTGGTACTTGGGTGGTAGTAAGAAGGCTGAGTCGTAACCCAACTACTTATTTTCCTTTATAAAACTTTATTATAAATGTTAACACTTACAAAATAATACCGAACCGGAGAAAAGGGGTTGTATGAGTACAGCAACTAGAAGAACAAGAACTGCCCGAGCTGGGTGAAGTCTCGGTTTATATACGTTTTGGTTTTAGGATGTTGAGGGGCTAGGTGTAGGTTATGATGTAAAAAAGTGTCCGAAGATCGGAGGTCCATATCCTATCTCTGATGTGGACTGAGGTGCGACACAGCCTTGGTGTATGCTATGATGATAAGGTGGTGATGTGTCCAAAAGTGTTCGAAAGTCGGCGGTCGATGTATTATCACTGATGTAGGTTGAGGTGTGATTGATGTCACACAAACATCGTGCAAAGAGATGCAGATTGCGCCATGAATATGTATTTGCTTAGAAAGACACGCAAAATAAGTCAATTTCTCCTGTTATCGACGCAGGGGTATGTACTTTTTCCTCGAAAACGGAAGATTTGAGTTGCTGGCGGAAGTCTTCGAGAAACCAATAAAACACATCTCAAAACTGATAACTGATACGTCGTATGAGATGATTCGCGCGACGTTCTTCATTGTCTGACCGTCGAGGCCCAAGCACCACTAGACAGACTCTCGGTATTCAATCAACTACCCTTATTATCCCACAAGAAATAAGGGATCGAACGATTTGTGGCGTCGATTAATCAAATCGTAACGGGACTTTACGACTCCCGTTGGAGTGCATCTTCGAGATCGCGTCTCCCCGCGAACGTGCAAAACTTCACTATGGATTCGCTGCAGTTTTATGGAATTCACACTCGAAGTCACGTGTACTGGATAAGTCTTTTGCAAATTCCATTTCGGCGACAACAAGAGGAATGCTACGATCGTCCACGATCCGTACAGCAGCGTTTCGTAGATCTGCAAACAGTGTTTCTATCGAATAGATTAGATAGTCGTCAACCGGTTCACTACTTGCTTCATTCAATCTTTGTAGCAGTGATTCCACGACAGGACATAAGTCTTTCATAGCGAACAATGCAGGAAACTTTCTCCCAGTCTTATTAGTTTTCATAATTGTGGAGAACTTATCATACATAAGTGCGAACTCACATTCTCCATCATCTAATTTCATAGTGATTGGGTGTGTTTCCTGACTGGTTTCTAGTGCATCTCTTCTCTATCCTAAAGGTATTTTTACCTTTAATATTTCATGGTATATGTTTTGAATACCACTTTGTATACTAAATTCTGCAAATGCTAATTCTGCAAGACAAGTCACACTTGTTAATTCCTATGTCTCTCCTATAAAACCAATTGACATGTAGCAATATAAATTTTAGACTTTACGAGTTATTGTATGTTATACAGCCATACAAACTATAGATTCTATGTATCGAAGCATGTTTTGCAGAAATTCATCCTCATTCTTTTGCTCTGACTCTAGTTGTGCTACATCTTCGCCAATTGTAGTTCTGTTACCTACTGCCATCTGAGTTTTAATCTTGCTGTCTTTTGCTTTAGACTTATAAATTCCCCTTTCATGTGGAACAAGATATGTGGAAAAATGCATTATATTTCTTTGCTCTTTACTGAGTGAAAAAGCAAAAGAAGCGTGGCATATCTGTCCCAAGAAATATAAAAGAACTTTCATCACTTTGTAGCAAAGAATAGAAGATTATAGTTACAACAATACACATTATAATTATATTGGACGAACACTGCCAAGAAATACTTCCACAAAGTATTTCCAAAAAATGTCCTTCCAGAATAACTATAATATTTTTTATTGCAACTACAATTCTTCCAGTCTTCGCTACAAAGCGATGAAATTCATATTTCTCGAGGCAGATATACCACGCTCCTTTTGCTCTTTCGTCTATTGAAGAGTAAGAATGCATTTATCGACATATCTTACTCCACATGAAAAGGGAATTTATAGTTTAATGCAAAAGACAGCAAGATTAAAACTAAGATGACAGTAGGTAACAGAACTACAATTGGTGAAGATGTTGCACAGCTAGAGATAGAGCAAAAGAGTGAGGAGGAATTTCAGCAAAACATGCTTCGATACATAGAATCTATAGTTTGTAAGGGTATACAACATAATAACTTGCAAAATCTAAAATTCATATTTATACAATTGGCTTTATAGAAGAGACATAGGAATTAACAAGTGTGACTTGTCTTGCAGAATTTAGTATACAAAATGGTATTTGAACCATATACCATGAAACATTGAAGATAAAAATATCATTTTGTATTAAATTCTGCAACTTCAAATTCCGCAATACAAAAGTCACATATGTTAATTCCTATGTCTCTTCTATAAAACCAATTGACATGTAGCAATATAAATTTTAATTTATAAATTTTAAGCAATATAAGACTTTACAAGTTATATTATATGTTGTACACCCACAAAAAACTATAGATTCTATGTATTGAAGCATGTTTTGCAGAAATACCTCCTCGCTCTTTTGCTCAAACTCAAATGGCTCTTTTGCTCAAATGCAAATTCCGCAAGACAAAAGTCACACTTGTTAATTCCTATGTCTCTTCTGTAAAACCAATTGACATGCAGCAATATAAATTTTTTGCTTTACAAGTTATTATATGTTGTACACCTATACAAACTATAGATTCTATGTATGGAAGCATGTTTTGCAGAAATTCCTCCTCACTCTTCTGCTCAAACTCTAGCTGCGCTACATCTTCACCAGTTCTCGTTCTGTTACCTATTGCCATCTGAATCTTAATCTTGCTGTCTTTTGCTTTAGGTTTAAAAATTCCCTTTTCATGTGGAGGAAGATATGTCGAAAAATGCTTTCTATTACCATCAATGGTATTCAAAGCATATACCATGAAACATTGAAGGTAAAAATACCATTTTGTATACTAAATTCTGCAAATGCAAATTCCGCAAGACAAAAGTCACACTTGTTAATTCCTATGTCTCTTCTATAAAGCCAATTGTATAAATATGAATTTTAGATTTTGCAAGTTATTATGTTGTATACCCTTACAAACTATAGATTCTATGTATCGAAGCATGTTTTGCTGAAATTCCTCCTCACTCTTTTGCTCTATCTCTAGCTGTGCAACATCTTCACCAATTGTAGTTCTGTTACCTACTGTCATCTTAGTTTTAATCTTGCTGTCTTTTGCATTAAACTATAAATTCCCTTTTCATGTGGAGTAAGATATGTCGATAAATGCATTCTTACTCTTCAATAGACGAAAGAGCAAAAGGAGCGTGGTATATCTGCCTCGAGAAATATGAATTTCATCGCTTTGTAGCGAAGACTGGAAGAATTGTAGTTGCAATAAAAAATATTATAGTTATTCTGGAAGGACATTTTTTGGAAATACTTTGTGGAAGTATTTCTTGGCAGTGTTCGTCCAATATAATTATAATGTGTATTGTTGTAACTATAATCTTCTATTCTTTGCTACAAAGTGATGAAAGTTCTTTTATATTTCTTGGGACAGATATGCCACGCTTCTTTTGCTTTTTCACTCAGTAAAGAGCAAAGAAATATAATGCATTTTTCCACATATCTTGTTCCACATGAAAGGGGAATTTATAAGTCTAAAGCAAAAGACAGCAAGATTAAAACTCAGATGGCAGTAGGTAACAGAACTACAATTGGCGAAGATGTAGCACAACTAGAGTCAGAGCAAAAGAATGAGGATGAATTTCTGCAAAACATGCTTCGATACATAGAATCTATAGTTTGTAAGGGTATACAACATAATAACTTGCAAAATCTAAAATTCATATTTATACAATTGGCTTTATAGAAGAGACATAGGAATTAACAAGTGTGACTTGTCTTGCAGAATTAGCATTTGCAGAATTTAGTATACAAAGTGGTATTCAAAACATATACCATGAAATATTAAAGGTAAAAATACCTTTAGGATAGAGAAGAGATGCACTAGAAACCAGTCAGGAAACACACCCAATCACTATGAAATTAGATGATGGAGAATGTGAGTTCGCACTTATGTATGATAAGTTCTCCACAATTATGAAAACTAATAAGACTGGGAGAAAGTTTCCTGCATTGTTCGCTATGAAAGACTTATGTCCTGTCGTGGAATCACTGCTACAAAGATTGAATGAAGCAAGTAGTGAACCGGTTGACGACTATCTAATCTATTCGATAGAAACACTGTTTGCAGCTCTATGTATTCAAGCATGTTTTGCAGAAATTCCTCCTCACTCTTTTGCTGTGACTCTAGCTGCGCTACATCTTCACCAGTTCTCGTTCTGTTACCTATT